ACTTTATATGCTGGGTTAATTGTCCCAGCCACTTTTAAGCTAGTCCCTCCCTGCCCCTACACATCTTTCTCATTTAAGAGCACATCATTATCAATCCCATAGAAGAACTTACAAACCTTGGACACATACTTGATTCTTCACTTTCCTTTAGCACAACATCCAATCAAACCATCACCAATTCCAGTTCTACCTCTAAAACAGAACTTGACACTGTTCCATTGATTTCTTTTTTCTCTACTACCACCACCCAAATCCAAGCTACCATCAACGCTTGTTCGGATTTCTGCGAACTTCCTAATCCTGGGGTTCTCAGTCTGGGTCCCTTGAGAATAGAATTCTGTATAGAATTCAGGGGGTCTGTGGTCTTAGTTGGGAAAACAAAATCACATCTGTATCTCATGAACCTTATTTAAACAATTTAGTAGAAAAGAGCCAATACAAGTTCTTATAAAGAGATATCCTGATATTTTAATGTTTTATTGTTCAAAAATGTCTATTAATAATCCCTTGAATGAACTTCCTTTATGTATTTCCAGAAGGAATAAGTTAAATGAAAATATTACTTTGTCTCTGCCTCTCTCCATACACACATATTTTTTTCATACACACACATCTGGATAGAATGAGCCTCTGTGTCTCTCTATATACATGCTTATATTTTTCAGACACCTCACATTAATTACCTGGACACAGTTTTTCTCTCTGTTCACACATGCACACATAATACCTTGATAAAGTCATGCTTTTGGTCTCTGTTAGCCCTCACTATGTACATGCACATTTTTAACCCCCGAATCTTATCAATATAAATGCAAATTATAAACTTCCTCGTAGCCAAAGCGTAGTGGAAAACACAATTAGTTTACACAGTATACTCAGATGATTTGTTTAAAAGCCAATCACCACAACAAACGTAACTATTCCTTGTCCAAAGTCCTACAATAAATTGCTCTCATACGTCCTTATAAGGAAAACACAGCAGAATAATCAAATCTCTAAGTCACATCCCCGTAAATAAAAATATCATGCTTCATTGAATGGAGACTTATATCATCATCTTAACAGACATGGGCTCATATGATCTTGGTACTCAGTGTCTTCCATAGACAGGGAGCGTCGGCATAATCTGGGAGATGGTTAGAAATTCTGGATTCCAGGCTCTTTCTTAGATCTGTGGAATCAGAGTCTGCATTTTATCAGCAAAATCCCCAGGTGATTTCTATCCATATTAAAGTTTAAGATGTGTTAGTCTAATCATTCAGCTCAGGGAGGGTGTGGGGGTGGGGTTGTAGGAGACTAGACTTCAATCATTGATCCACCAAATATTTACTGAGACCTTGGCAGTGGAAACTATCTCTTAAACACGACACCAATGCCATCATAAAAAGACTGAAATTTAACACCATTAATTGTGGTGATGAAATATGCCATAGAGTAGACAGTATCTGTAACAACACCTGTTCTCCCTACTAAAAAAGTTGAGTACCTAAAAATGGATCAGACAATGCCCTAATGCTGGAGAAACAGTAATAAAAAAATAATACGTATCTTTATTTAACATATCTTATAATTGGGAAAATCAGATATAAGTAAAATAAATCACAAAAATGGAAATATATTGGATCAGGGCTGCAATTTTAAATAGAAAAACAGGGAAGACCTTTTTGAAGAGGTAAAGAGCTGACTGAGATGAAGGCACTAGCTATAAAAATCTCTAGGGGAAGAATATTTCAAATAAAAGAAACAGTGAGTACAAACACCCTGAGACAGGAGAATGCCTAAAACAGAAAGCCAATGTGGCTGAAGCAGAGCAAGCAAGAAGTAGAGTAGGCTAACTGGAGTCCTGATGATGTGGGGTCTTGTCAGCCATTTTAAAACATGGTTTCAAACCTGTTCAGTCGTGACCAATACAGCAAAATTGGAACAGTCAAAAATTTTAAGCTGTTAGTATGTTGGAATGATATCAGGAATGGGGAGAATTATGAGTTAAAGTTAAATTATGAGTAATGAGAGACTCAGAAGAGGTGTGGTGAACTTTTTCAGGAGCCAGATGATAGAGACTGGATTATTGCTATGCATATTTAAAGTGATGCTGTCAAGAGCCGTCTTTGAGCCAGGTAGAGTTGTTTAGAACACTGCTTGTCGAGTAATTTGATTGTTATACAATGTACATGCTGCTTAGTTTTCTAGGCGGAAGATTATGATTCTAGCACATCGCTCCCTGACTCACTCAATGGCACCGAATTGATTTCGGCTCATAGCAACCCTACAGGACAGAGTAGAACTGGTCTTGTGGGTTTCTGAGACTGCAAATCTTAAAGGTAGCAGAAAGCCTCATATGTCTACCAGGGAGTGGCTGGTGGTTTAGAACAGCTGACTTTGATGTTAACAGCCCAACTCATAACAACTACACCACCACAGTTTGAGTTATGGTTCTGGTATAGTCACCGTTTATGGATTTGGGTCCATTCTAGTTTCTCTTCATCAGTTATGACTGAACTGGGAAGATCTAATCCAAAGCCCTGTTTTAAAGATCTTAGTTGTATGTGTGATGAGATGAGAAATTTCTGAAGGGAAGGTAACAGGGTGCAGGTTGTTGAGTAGAGAAATGGCATAATGAAGATTGTTTATTAGAAGATTGGTTTATCAGAGTTATATGGGACAGCTTGAATAGAAGAATCAGCTCAACGACCATTGTACCAATTGATTTGTGCCATAGATTAAGTGCCAAAGATGGGCCAAATAGTATGGGAAAGGATATAGACTAGGTTAATAACTGGAGTAACTGCTAAAGGAAAGAAAATATAAATGACATTGGAGGGAACACAACTCAGGACAAAATGATAGTTTACAGAGAAATAACATAAGGTTGTGATTCAATTTAATCAAGGTTTCTGATTGATCTACTGAGGGCAATGCCAAAAACTGACTAGAACTTGGGAGTAAGTGATGTGTAAGACTGGTCATTCTTGAAGGTTTTTGAGTCTGGCACGCTTAGTCCCTGCCCTACACTTTCCAGAATTGAACTAGGACTTCAAATGGGTTCATTCTGGCTTAACCCCTGCTGAGAATTTGCTTTTTCCACCTCAACATACTGAATCCGATCTATAGTTTATAAACATAGATTGATTCAGGTGGACGTACAAATTCTCAGCAGATGGATAGACTTGGAATTAACTGATTTGAAAGCCTAGCTTGAACTTTTTGGACAGCCACAGCTGTGACTGGCTTGACAACTGGCTGAACTGCTCAAGTCAAGAGCTGACTTTTGCCCTCTGAGCTTGTTGCCTTTTCTGGGAGCAAGGGCCAAAGCACCTCAACTTGATTAGTACAAAAAGACAGATCTGGTTTAGCAGGAGAACAGCGAAAGGCCTTAATAAATGTCTCTGGGGAGCAGTATTACAGACTGGCCCTGGGTCACCATTCTGGGGTCTAGCAGTCCTTGTGCATGTCTATCAGTGTAACCTGGTTGGTCTCCCCCTCTTTGTCATTCCATTCTAGAGAAAATGGACCAAGGGATGGAAACATGGAAGAATTAAGCTTTAGGGACACAAGCAGAGAATTTTTTGTTTTAAATAGCCAATTGCCAGACTGCAAGGTCTATAGAGCTGATGCAAATGTAATGCAGATGATATGTAAATTGCTCCATGGCCTTCTAAAGGGTTTTCTACCACTGGAAGGGCCCTGGGGAAACTGCTAGCAGATAACAGTGACTCAGAGGCAAAGTGAACTATTTCAAGACAACTTTGTCATATGGACCTTTTCTGCCCTGCCAGCACTGTGCATTTTTTAGTATTCTTTTTTTTTTCTCACTTGAATCAGCATCACCTGCTGAACATCAAAAAAATATCAAGTCTGCTCCTGTCGAGGTTATCCAAGTTAATTGCACTTTTAAAATACTCGGTGTACCTTTGATTTTTCTTCAAATGCCTCTCTCACCCAACCAAACCCAAGTTAAATGTGCCACGTCTTTACTAGAAAAATATTTGGCTCTAGTGGGTTATGAATGAAAGTGCCTCCCTTTCATTTTTAGTTACTGTGATCCTTTGGAGGATTCTCCACCACCACCTCACCCCACCCCAGCTCCTCATTCTATAGGAACTGGCACATTCTAACCCAATATTCAAGAGCTGTATTAACAGTTATTACCAAAGAAAACAAGCCAACAAAAACCAACCAATAATCGTATGAATATATAGTGATGAAATCCAGTTCACTTCAAGGAGTCACTGGAAAGCTATGCATGAAGAGAAGCTGCCGTTCCATCGTAAGTACACTTGCTTCAATGAACAAATGTACATGGCACCAGAATGAGCTGCAAGTTTTATGCCTCTCTTTCTTAAAGCTACATGTATATGTTGAAAAGGGGCATCCTCATCAGATATGTGTTGCGCTCAATTGACCGGCAAACACATTAGACCTAGAGTAGAGTAGGAATTCTTCAGGCTTGCAGACGCAACATAACTGCCCAGCTGTGCTTGGAAAGGGGAGCAGAATCAGTTCCTAAACGTTCCATTACTGATTTTCAGTCTTCTAACATGCTTTGGACACAGAAAAAAAGGATGAGCCATCTATCCTTTTTGAGGTATTTTATCTCACTGGAAAGGGACACCCTGTCAGCCTCCAGAAAGCTGTTGGGTAAAAGAGGTTTTCGGAGGAGATACCCATCACGGTCAGCGTATAGCATAAGCAACGTGCAAAAACTCCACGTCCAAGTCAATAGGACAAGGAGAAGACAGAAGAAAGTAAGAGTTGGACCACAAGAGAACGAAGAAAATGACAACTCCAGGCAAAGATTAACAAAGAAATATGGGGAGCTCGCCCAAGCGCTCAGCTCATGAAGTTTGGGCGTCTCCAGAGGACTGGCAGACAGGCAGGCAGGCAGGACAGGGCTAGGCAGGGCAGGGCAGAGCTGCACAGGGCTTGAGCAAGGCAGAACCAGGCATGGAAAGGGAAGGGCAGGCAGCGAGCGCTCCCCGGCGGTCCGGGCTGCCTCTTACCTCCTGGGCGAGTTTCTGCTTGAGCACCAGCGCAGCGCACAGGTAGCCCGCGCGGCCCACGAACAGCTCATCGGAGCCACAGTCCAGGAAGGAGACAGGCGCGCAGGTGGCACACAGAGCTCGGAACTTGCCCAGCGGCTGCACGTAGTCAGACCGGCCCAGGGCGTGGTACACGAGCGTGGCCACCGCATACACACCCGCTCCCCCGAGCAGAAAGGCAGCGCGGGTGTCAGCGTCTGGCTCACCCCAGTCCTCCACTTGGGAACACGCGTCGATCAGGCGCTTGGCTGAGCGCAGGTAACGCTCCCGGGCGGTGGCAAAGAGTGGACTCTGTGAGACGTGATAGAGCATATAGGCGACCCCTGCCACGCCGCCATACAATCCCCCTTGACAGCCACTGGCACCGGTTGCTGCCCCCCGGGCCTCGGTGGTACCCCTGAGTGGGGGCAGCTCCTGGAGAATTCTCTCGATGGTGGAAGTCACCAATGGCCCCACAGCTTCCTCGCACTGGCCCGCCAGCAAGCTGCCCTGGTAGTCATCGAAGTGGTTGGCAAAGCAGCGCTTGGTGTCCATGCTGCTGACCGGGCTCCCCAATGCTGAGCCTGGGACCTTGAGGGCTGGAGCGCTCGCCCTGCAGCTCCACCCACCACCTCTGGCTCTCTCAGACACTCTGATGGCGGTGGATGCAAGCAGGATGGAGCTAGGAGGGTGAGACTGGAGGTGCCAAGAGGAGGCAGGCTCGAGGAGGACAGACGGAGCAGAGAGACAAGTGGAGCACCGGGCTGTCTCCAAGCTCCTGAGTGGCCCGGGTGAGTGTGGGCATGCGCCGCGCCGAGAGCCCTCTTCCCGAGGCCGTGCCTTCCCCAAACCTGATCTCTCCTGCTCCGCTGCAGCTTGGAGGTGTCTTTAAGCCTAAGGGAAGGAGGTGATCTCAGGCAGGACCCACTTGGGGCTCCCGCCACTCCTCCTGCTCCGCCCTCAGCTCCTCCTCTCAAGGCTGATGCCTAGGGACACTGGGAAACCAAGCTGAAAGCTGAGGGTGAGCACACACAGGCACACACCTGGAGGTGGAGGTGACCACCTTAAGTCCCTTGTATATTCAAAGCGTGGTTCTCCCTGGGTTGGCAGCACCCTTGCTGCTCCCATGTCTTTTGTTCACCTTTGTCTGGTATGGTTACTTCTTGAGATTTATTTCCTGCTTTTGACTGACTTTCCCCTCATGCTTTTCACTGTTTCATTTATTAAGAGTCCCAGATTTTGTGCTTTGTTTGTTTAAAATGCTCCACCCTAGAACTACTGAATAGAACTCTGTATTTTTAACCTGATGTCCTGATAATTCACATGCACTTTAACTTTAGAGAAGTAGCTGAATTAGGTAGTGTTGTGGCGTACTTGTTTGGCTGCTAACAAGATTAGTCCTTCCCACTTGCCAAAAGCTCTGAGGGAGAAACATGAGGCTTTCTGTTCCCATCAAGATTTATATAGCCTCAGCTACTCAAAGGGACACGTGTACCCTCGGTTTTATAAGGTCACTGTCTGAATCTACTCAATATCAGTGAGTTTAGTTAGTTACTTTGGCCAGAAGGAAACTGAGTGATAACCCCCCACCCTCCCACAGGTTATTAGCTTTAGTCACGTTGGAGTTCCCATGGCTAAGGTGTTTGAACACATCATGTTTAATGCACTAGAACAGTGGCGTGCCCTGTATGGAAACGTTTTCTTGGCCTTGGTTGTCAATATTCTTTTTCTTGGATTATAAAGAACGATGCTGAAGTTCAATCAAGGTAGTAGGTGATTTTTTTCCCTCCTGCTCTGAACCCCCCCCCCAGCCCCCCACATCTGCATGCTATTGTTTTTGTTGTTGCTGGGTGCCATTGACTCAATTCTGACCATAGTAGCTCTCTGCACAACAGAAGGGAACTCTGCTGAGTCCTTGGCCATGCTCACAATTGCTCCTAAGCTGGAGCCCATGGTTACAGCCACTGTGTCACTCCATCTCCTTGAGGGCCCTCCTCATGTTTGATGGCCTTCTACTTTACCAAGCATGATAAATATCTCCATACATATCTTGAGGTTATTAACTAGTTACTAATAGGATAAATGTTGTATGAAAATTTAATTAAGCTTTTTGACCCCTCTCTATATCTTCAATTTCCTCTTCTCCTTCCTTCCTTGCTAAATGTATTCCCTTTTGCTTTAATTCACAGGGCATTATTGTGATGGACCCTGAAGACCCTCTTCTGTGTGTTGAACCCTGAAATGGATAAATGTTCAAACTACATAGGGTTCTAGATCTCATGCAGTTTATAGTCCAGTGAAATAGAAAATGAAATATTATAAAAATCCGTTGCCTTCAGATATAAATATTATTACATATGCAATCATGCAATAACAGTGATCTACGAGTAGATGTACAGATAGACTCAGGCTGAACTAGCGATGGAGGCAGTGTTGTAGTATATCTATCTATCTACACAAACATATGCACACACATATGTGTATGGATATTTCTGCATGTATAACCATGCTACAAATAGATGCATGATTGTGGTGGATCAAACAAGGGACAAAGTTAGGAAAATTTCTAAGACACAATCAAATACCTTGAGGGAATGAGTTACTGGTCTGGGGGCACAGGATCATGATCTCTGAGAACACCAAGGTCAATTGACATAATGTAGTCCCCAAAGACAATATTCTACCTGTTAATTTGCTGAGAGTCATTCGAGATCTTTAAAGTTCATGAGTGGTCATCTAAAATGCACCCACCTGCTAACCTCGCCCCTTCCCGAAGAAAGAAGGGTGAAGAAAAGCATAGGCTGAGGGAAACAATTAATCCAATTGGACCAGTGGACCATGCAAACATCATTCTCCGTGACCCTAAGGCCAGAAGCGTTAGATAGTAATTGGTGAGCACTCACAACTGTTTTAAAGCGATGTCACATTAAAAGTTCCTGGAGAGAGTGGGAGAAAAAAATGTGAAACAAAACTCAAAGTCATAAAAGAGAAAAGGCTTATTCGATGCACAGAGCCTGGCAGAATACCCAAGACTATGGCCCTCCATTCAATCCACAAAAGCAATTTAAAACACTAATAAAAATTAGCTTCTTTTCTTGTGCTCTACTGTTTTAAAATAATTCTTTCTTTCACAGAGTGTTGAGCAGGCTTAAGAGGTCACTGGCCTCACCCAGGCATATTTGTATTGGGGTAGGGATGGCATAAGATACAAAAGAATAAATCATTCATGTAAGCTTCTGACATTGGGGTGGGGGTGGCAACTACACCACATATTTGAAAGGCCAATTTTGCGTGAAGGTTTTTTTCTTTTGTTTTCTGAAAAGTGTTCAGTTTTATAGATTAAGAAGCAGGAATTGAATATGTATAGTGTGTTCGTCTGCTCTTACTTGCCATATTCTGAGAAAGGAGCTTGGAGCTCAGCATGTCAAGGTTATTGCCATGACTGACACAGTCCACATAGGTTCAAAGATGATATGACTGCCTTCTTTTAACACTACCAAGGTATGTTCATTTTTAATTTAACAAAAATCTAAATCTACTTTTAGGTAAGGAGATTGAAGGTTAAAAGAAGAAAGGGCATCAAATGAGCAACTGGAATATATATATGTTCATTTTTAATTTAACAAAAATCTAAATCTACTTTTAGGTAAGGAGATTGAAGGTTAAAAGAAGAAAGGGCATCAAATGAGCAACTGGAATATATATATATATAAAATTTTCTCCTTAAGGCTTTTCCAACTGGAATATATATATAAAATTCACTCCTTAAGGCTTTTCCCCCCATACCTCAGTAGTGGGGATTTGGAGTGATTTCTGTCCTTTTAGATAAGGAGTCATGACATGTAAGCCTTCACAAGCAGAAATGAAGCCTTATTCCACCTATTCCTCCACCCCCCACTCCTTGTTATGAATCTAAAGACCTCTCTTGTTGACACCCCAGTCTGGAAGTAAGCACCAGCAGCAATGGCAGAGACCTGTGTTCACGGCTTCAAAGTAGAATTGTAAGCAGTTCACCAGGAGAAGAACATGCCTTTTTCCAGATGTGTCACTTCTCTATTGACTAACAAAGCTATATAATAAGCACCTACAAAATCTTAGTAGCATGTAACAGTAAATGTATCACTTGTCCATGTGGAATCTTAGCCAGGTTTGTTGCTCTTCCTGGAAGTGGGTTGGCTATTAAATGGAGAGAATGGGGTAACATCTTTCAGCCTCCTGAAGGCCAGACCCAGCATGCTAGCATGGTGATGACAGAGATGATGAACATGCAAGTCAAAACATGTAAGATCTCTTAAGATCTGGAATACTGTCATTTATACCTATTCTCTTGGAAATCATGTGATGAAATAGAAACTGTCTTTGTGGGATTCTCAATTTACATGACAAAGGGAGTGGGTACAGGGTGTGGTGTGGTGAAATATTGGAATTCCTAGAGTTTTCTTTGGGAGAGTAATGACAGTAGAACAAATGTCACAAAATGAATCTTAAACAATATGATTTACATTGGGGGAATCAAGTGATTAATGGTATCCAGAATCCCCCTTAAGCTCACCAGATGATTAAACCTTTCACCTATGACATTCTTTTTGAAGACTTAATTATTTTGTCTGTTGCCCAATCAACTGGTAAATTTCCAGCTGAGAACTTCCTCCAGAGTGCAGCTGGCTAGTTAGTCCACCTGAGGTGCTACCTCTAATTGTTATTTACTTACATTTTAAGCACTGTTATTTATTTTGTTGTTGTTGTTGTTATTTAATCATTTTATTGGGGACTCATGCAACTCTTTTCACAATCCCTACATACATCAATGTTGTTATTTATTTTAATACCAGTACTCCATTAGAATACACTCTCCATGAGAGTAGCACTTTTGCTGCATTTACTTACTAACACATGCTAAGATGTGCTTACTAAAGATGTATAAAATGAATAATCATGAGAGGAAAGGTGCCCTTGTCAAGGTAACTTGGAGTGAAGAATGAGAGTGAAGACCTTATTGAAAATTTAACCCGACTTGGTTTAACTCTCATTATGTTTTTTAGTGCTTTTGCTTCTTTAGATAGAGGAATGCAAACATTTTCCAATTTCTGCCTTTTTGCTTTGTCTCTTTCTCTACAAGCTCTGGGAACCTCTGTACTTTTCTTTAATTCAATGACTTCACATACTGTAATTTTACAAATGAAACTTGTGTGTTGTACTATAATTTCTAAAGATGACAGCAAAAGTTTATCTGTCCCTGGACTCCAATATGGCATCAGCTTTCCTCTCATAAAGAGGGTGGGACCATGTCGACTCCTCTTAAATTTGTACACCTGACACAATTGTCACGAATAGAAGAAATCATGAATACGAGAATCATAGAAAGTGTTGGTAATGATGATGCAGCAGTACTAGGTCATAAAAGGAGAGGAAGATTCCATATTACATGATGGACTGCTCACATTTGGACCTTTGAACTGGCTTGCAATAATTTGACTACCCTAAGTCTGTCGTGCTTTTAAGAAGCCCAGGTTGCATGAAGAGGTCACCCATAGGTGGACAGACCAGCTGTGATC